GGTGACTGACAAACAATAATGTACAACTAAAATTTCACAATATGGGGCCGGCCCCGTGGCGTAGCGGTTAAGTGCGTGCGCTCCGCTGCTGGCGACCAGGGTTCGGATCCCGGGCGCGCACCAAGGCAGCGCTTGTCAGGCCATGCTGTGGTGGCGTCCCATATAAAGTGGAGGAAGATAGGCACAGATGTTAGCCCAGGGCCAGTCTTCCTCAGCAAAAAGAGGAGGACTGGCACGGAAGTTAGCTCAGAGCTGATCATCCTCACAATAAAAAAAAATAAAATAAAATTTCACAATGTTATAAACTGTGAAGACATCAATAAAAAAAAATTTATCCAAGATCTCTTTACACATACACACACACAAAAAGTGAGTTGTGTTGTAGTTTGAAAAACATTTAATATTGTCTGGAGTCTTGCTCATTATAGTATGTCCTAATGCAACAAAGAGCTGCTTTTTTTTTCTTTAATTGGCCCCCAGGTTGTTTCTTTCTTTTTTGTTTTTTTTAAACAAAGAGCTTTTTAGCACTGTATTTTTATCTTGAGGCAATCCACATTTCATTTTATAAATCTAAGGACAAACTTTATAGGCTTTATGATGACTATTAACAGTTACAAGCAGTCACTATGAATATTGTAATGGTCATTTTATGTGTTAGTTTATCAAACATAAATCTTGTTTAATTTTATATTTTGTTACTTACACTTTTGAGATAATGGAAAGCGATTTAACTCTTCCTGTGAAAAGACTTCTTGGTATTTATTTATTTATTTATTTATTGTGAGGAAGATCGGCCCTGAGCTAACATCTGCCAGTCCTCCTCTTTTTGCTGAGGAAGACTGGCCCTGAGCTAGCATACAAGCCCATCTTCCTCCACTTTACATGGGATGCCTCCACAGCATGGCTTGACAAGCGGTGCGTCGGTGCGCGCCCGGGATCCGAACCGGCGAACCCCGGGCCGCCGCAAGGCTCGCACTTAACCGCTTGCGCCACCTAGCCGGCCCAAGACTGCTTGGTATTTAGAATAGAAAGAGTATAAAACAATAAGCATCCAGTATTGAGAGACGACATGATGAGGTATTAAGAATTCCTATGGGGCCGGCCCCATGGCTTAGCGGTTAGGTGAACGCACTCTGCTGCTAGCAGCCCTGGTTCGTATCCCCAGCGTGAACCGACACACTGCTTCTCCGGCCATGCTGAGGCCGCGTCCCACATACAGCAACTAGAAGGATGTTCAGCTATGACATACAACTATCTACTGGAACTTTGGGGGAAAAAAATAAATAAATAAAATTAAAAAAAAAAAAAAGAATTCCTATGGATATCTATAAATTATGTATGTCAATTGAACCTTGCAAATAAGCATAGTTATGTTTAATTTAACCTTGTTTTATAAGGTCTTAACTCAGACTATAAAGATTCACTTTTTTTAACCCATTTAGAATTTATTAAAAGTGCTACAAGCAGCCCTTGATGTTAACATGGTCCCATTTGCATTTTGTTTGTTTTTATTTTTTCCTTTATTTTATTTATTTATTTACTTTGTGAGGAAGATCAGCCCTGAGCTAACATCCGTTGCCAATCCTCCTCTTTTTGCTGAGGAAGACTGGCCCTGGGCTAACATCTGTGCCCATCTTCCTCTACCTCATATGGGACACCGCCACAGCATGGCTTGACAAGCAATGTATTGTTCACACCCAGGATCCGAACCTGAGAACTCCAGGCTGCCTAAACAGAGTATGCTAACAGAGTATGCAAACTTAACTGCCATGCCACTGGCTTGGCCCCCGCTTTATTTTTTTATAGCAGCTTTATAGAAATATAATTCACATACCAGAGAATTCATCCATTTAAAGAGTACAATTTAATGGTTTTTCGTATAGTCACAGAGTTGTGCAACCATCACCACGATCAATTTTAGAACATTTTCACCACCCCCCCTTACCCTTTAGCTGTCATGCCCCAATCCCCCAGTCCTCCCCAGCCCTACTTTTAGTCTCCATAGATTTGTCTATTCTGGACTTCATAGAAATGGACACATACAATATGTGGTGTTTTGTGATTGGCTTCTTTCACTTAGCATGACATTTTCAAGGTTCATTCATGTTGTAACATGTATCAGTACTTCATTCCTTTTTATTGCAGAATAACATTCCATGGTTTGGCTATATTTCATTTTATTTATTCATTCAACAATTGATGGACATTTTGGATTATTTCCATTTTTGGCAAACATCCTATTTTTAATAATTTTATTTTTTCCCCCAAAGCCCCAGTAGATAGTTGTATGTCATAGCTGCACTTCCTTCTAGTTGCTGTATGTGGGACGCGGCCTCAGCATGGCCGGAGAAGCAGTGCGTCGGTGTGCGCCCGGGATCCGAACCCGGGCTGCCAGCACTTAACCGCTAAGCCACGGGGCCAGCCCAAACATCCTATTTTTAAACAATGTTTATTTGCAGACTTTGTCACTCAGTTTGGGTTTTTCTTTTCATAAAATCTTTAAGGAAAAATATAATTTTTCTATTTTGGTAGCAATGATTGCTGCATGCTATCACCTAATGATTTAAGAATTTTTCCTTAGTTGCTATGCCAACTAATATAAAATTGAATATGATGTTTGCAAACCAAGGATGGTGATTTCAGATTAGAACTACACATTTGAAGCATTAAGACTATGTCTGGTGATCTCTGCTTCCCTTTTAAGTGTCCACACATCATCCTTCTACAGTCCCTTGAATTTTGCTAGGGATGAGCAAATATCTCACCAGTATATAGTCTTTGAAATCCAGATTCTTTTCTGTTTTGGCAATCAGGGTGACACTTTCATTTCCAGGCCTTTGGTTCCATCCTGTTCTTTGTGTCTCCTCAAAGATCACTGACAAGTTCAGCAGTCTCACCACAGACTTGCTGAGCGTCCTGATAATCAGTTCATCACAGCCAGCAACGGAAGCTCACGTGCAAAAGCTAGACCGGCAGTGAATGGCAGACTCCACGGTGCCAGAAATAATTTTCTGGCTTGACTTCTCAGTTTCCATTTTGTTACTGCTTCTGCCAGAACCACGTGCTCAGTGAGTTTTTCTTTCCTGCTATAATCATCTAGTCCCATCTAGCTGTAGTCTCTGCAACTGACAATTCCTTCTGCTTGTGGACAATACAGAAAACAGAGGCATGGAGCCTGACTGACCAGGGTTTAAGTCACAGCTCACCACTGCCTAGCTGTGTGAAATTACGCAGGTGATTAAACTCTTTGGGACTCTGTTTTCTCATCGGTAAAATAGAGGTTAATACCTCCGAGGGTTATGTGAAATATCCACCCTGAACCTGACACATAGTAATTGTACTCAACAAACTTTCCTCTCCCCCATCCTCCCATTACATGTTTCAAGGTACTGTCAACCACAGCCCAAATAGCACATAATGAGCCTCTACTATATATTGGCCCTTGGAAGGTTGTGATACTAAAAATATAGGAAATAGCTTCCTGCTCTCGAGGAGCCTGCAATGTAGTCAGGGAGCCGGCATCCACTGCCTCAACTAATCCTTACAGCAGTCCTGGCAATACCAGCTCAAGACAAGGTTGACATGAGGGAAGCCATGTTGTAGAGAAGAAACCCCACTGTAACTTGGAATGACCTCTGACTAACTAACCCAGCTGGGTATGCACCCTCCAGGAGATCTAACTGCTCTGTAGATTTTAGGACCGCTGCTTGTGCATGTACCTCCCAGCTGTGATGACCCCCAAACAGAGAATCTATGCTAATGGCCATCATCAATGAAAACCAAAAGATCTGGTGTGGCAGACTCCCAGTCTGTAACACCAGAATGTCAACATTCCTAACCCCCTCCCCTATAACCCACCAGCCTACATAACTGCTGTAAGATTTTGTGCCCCCTTAAGATGGTTCTTTCAGACATTAGTCGGCCATCTTCCCTCTTGCTAGCAAGCTGTAATAAAGAGTCCTTTCTTCTCTACCACCTTGCCTCAAGACATTGTCATGTCTTGCTGCGAGCAGAAGAGCCCCTTTGGGCGCAAAGGTAACACTGGGAGGCCGACAAGTAGGAAAACGGGAAGAAAAGGACAGAGGGTCCAAGGGCGAACAGAGACCTATCTCCTTCTACTCCCCAAATGCACGTGCTTGTCCTGACCACAGGACCCACTGTCGGGTTGTTTTCGTGTCCGTCACCCCTACAAGATCATTGGCTCCCTGAGGGGGACCCAGTTCGGGTTCACCTCCTGGGGCTGGGCACGCAGCAGGCCTGGGCGCTGTTGGGCCTTCTCACTCGCTGGACGCCGGCTTGCTCGCTCGTCTGTAAGTGGGGGCGGGAGCATCACGCTCGGTGCTCCCGCCCTGCCCGGAAGTCCCCCGGCTTCCCCCAGGAGAAGGCGGGAAGCCCAGCCCCGCCCAAGGGCCGTTGGCGGTTGCCCGCCACCCGCCGCTGCAGTCCGGATTGGCTCCTTCCTCTGGCAATGAGGCGGCTTTAGCCAATCGCCAGCGAGGCCGGTCTGGAGGCCCCGCCCCGCGGGAGCCCGCCCCCGCTCTGGAGGCCGGCGGGTGGTTTGCGGAGTCTGGGGTCGCAGACTCGGCTCATGAAAGAAGGGAGTGCACTTACACCCGAGGCCCTGGGCCGATGTTAGAAAGAGCGCTTGCGGGGCGGGGACCAGGGACCGGGAACAGAGGCTTGTGTGACCCTGGGCAGCCTCTTCTTTCCGAGTGTCAGTCTTGCCATTTTCAATGAGGTTGGAAGACCAGGGGGAGTATGTGAGGCGGAGCGAGGGAGTAACCCTAGTGGGGAACAAAGGGGTAGGCGCGGGGATCCGCCCGCACGGAATGGGAGTGGAAGGAGGCGCGCAGAGAACCCTAGGCGTGACGGTCCCTGCGGAAAGGCAGCGGTTGGAGTGTCGCCTCCCTCCTCGGAGCCGGTGGGCCCCGCAAGCCCCGCCCCCGCCCCGCAGGCCCCGCCCCCGAGACCTAACTCGCGCCGCAGCGCTGGGGGAGCCCACTGCAAGCCTGGTCCGCCGCGCTTTCGGAGTGAGTCTGTCTGTGCTTCCCTCGATCCGCCCTCCGCCCGCCGACGGACAGCTGCTCGCCCTCGTGTTCTCCCTGCTGCTCGGTGAGCCCGGCCCCGGCCTGACCTAGCCCCGCGCCCGCTACGCCTGCTCCACGCCCGCTACCCCGGCCCGCGCGCCTCCCTCTCTTTAATTCCCCTCCTCTCCTCCCAGCCTATTTTGTATTTTTCCTCTCTGTACTCTGTTCTTTTTCTTTCTTTATCTCTCTTCTTTCACCTTTTTTCTGTCTCCCTTTTGTTCTTTACTTCTCGCGTTCTACTGGCTGTAATTTAAGCCTTCACCCTTCCATTTCCTCCTCTTGGCCCGGGGGCCCAGCCCCGCCTTGGGTGGGGGCCTTATGCACGTGTACGATGACCAGAATGACCTCTCCCTCCCCAGGCAGCTCCAGGCCATTCTTGCGGCTGTTTGTGCTGGGAAGAGGCTTTGAGCTGCTCTGTCCGCCTCTGCCGGCTGCGCTCCCAGCCCCTCTAACCTCCGCACAGCCCGGGTTTGTGTCCTAGACTCTCAGCGAGTCTCTGACCTATCGTGACCCCCTCACAACACTCTCACGCATCAGAGTCTGCTGACTGTGTTGGGGGAGGCTTCTCCAGAGTCCTGAGTGCACTAAAGCAGAAGTCTGGAAGAAAGCCAGTGGGTGATACTAAGAGAGTAGATGGGGGAGGGAGGACTCCTGGCTTCATTTCCCCGCTCCAGTGTGGGCATTTAATTAGTCCCTGGCTGCCCTGGGTGAAATGGACCCTGTTCCCTCCCCCTACTCCCTCCAGGCAAGGACTGAGTGGGCTTATGTATCTTGGGCAGGTGGCCCTTTCCTTGCTGGTGTGTGGTCCTTTAAGGCAAATTTCCTTTTCTAAACTTATCCTTTGCTCTCACCCACAGGACACATAGTATGACCATTAGGTGTTTCGTCTCCCAGCCATTTTCTATGGAAAACCAAGGAGATCGGGCCATGATAGCCACTGGCAGCTTTGAAGAAAGGGATGCCTTTAGAGAAGCTTGATCTTGGAGAACTCTGTGTGAGACCTTACAAAGCCGGGTAAGAATCCAGTTGAAGGGAGGGGTCTCCTGCTGCCTCCTAGCCCTGTGGTCTAGGGGTGGGGGTCAGTAGGACATTAGCAAAAATAACGAGCACCACCACCCCAGTTAAGTCGCTCTTCGGAATTCACAAAGCACCTTCATACATCCCTGGCCTCATTCTGGCCATCAAGCTGACCCTGAGAAGCCAAGGATCGTGGTCCCCATTTTACAGAGGAGGAAATTGAAGCCCAGATGGGACAGTGATTGGCCCTGGATCACCCTGGGGGTCAGCAGCAGAGCTAGGGCAGGAACCTATTCTAACTATATGTTATTGACTCCAACTTGGACTATCCCTGAGACTGAGATTAGTAATCAGGTGTACTTTTTTAACACTGAAACTGGTTAGTTGCTGGGACTGTAAAATATGATTAACTCTTTCTAGGCCTGAGTTTTACTAACTCTTCTAAGTAGGGTTTTTAGCACAGGCAACTGTTGCCCCCGTACCCACATCTCTGAAGGACCTGGGCAAACCCAAAGCAACATTCACAATGGCAACTGAGCCTCCATGCACTCGTCTTTGAGGTGGGTGAGGGTTTGGTCTTATTCTCTGGCCTTCACAACACTCTGCAACCCAGCTCGAGGTCAGGACATAATAGACCCATGTCGTCATGTCTCTGATGCCCAGAGAGGGGAACCCGTTTGCCTGAACCCTCTCAGAACTGTCATATTGGCATGAGAGAACTTGGGTGTTGGACTTCCTCATGAAAGCCTTGCCTGTGCCTGGGGCTAAGAATGCAGAAGAGAAATGTTCTGGGCACCAGTGCAAAGCAAATAGCATAAGCTTTGGAGCCTATAGATATGGCTCTTACTAAGTTCCCTCATCTGTAACATGGAAGTAAGAGCAGCCACCTTACAGGGCTGCTCTGAGGAGTAAGTGAGCTAATAGAGTGCCCCAGGCAGTGGGATAGTGGCAAGGTATGGAACACCTTGGGGATGGATGTGTCAGAGCAGGGAAGCTGGGGAGTCTGGAGCACCTTCATCAACCCATTCTGCCACCTGAGTGCCAATCTTCACTGAGCCTCATGTGGGCCAGGCTCCAGGGAAACAGAATAAGGCCAGGCCCCACCCTGTAGGAGCTCTCGATGCAACTGAGTGGTGAGTAGCCTCTGGATTTCCCTGTTTGCCCCAGCCACCTGGGTGAGAAGCCCAGGAGGTAGAAGCTGGGTGAGCTGTTTGTTTCCATGTGTCTCTGTGTTCACAGCTGTCTCACACCACATCCTCCCTCTGCCAGCTAGCTGTTTCCTCCTGGCCCCAACAACAGGGGCAGCCAAGCAGGCTGGGCTCAGAGCCGCTGCTCTTAGGAAGTCAGAGAAGTGAGCTCAGGGGAGAGACAAGCAGGTCACCCTCCCCCACTGGGGTGCTGGGCTCACTTCCTCCTGAGGCAGCAGAGGAGGGTGTTGTTCTAACTCTGAGCACAAAATGGAGCTTTTGGTTTCCTCTGTCACTCTTCATAGCTCTGACCTGCACCTCCCCATCCCTGCCTTTTTTGTGGTAAAGATGTAGATCCCCTGTGTTGGAGGAGAAGAAACTGGCTGGAGAGGAAGACAGTTTTCCCTGCATCACACAGAGGCCAGGGCGAGAGAGTCCAGTGCCTGTGCTCTTACTCTTAGCCCAGAAAATTGCCCAGTATCCTTCAAGGCTCAGCTAAATGTTACCTTTTCTGATTACCCACTCTTCCTTACCTCTCTCCTGATGGAGTTAGTTTTTCCCTCCTCTGCATTTATGTCCTTTAAGCCTGGAATGCAGCTTGAATCACTTGCCTACCCCCTGTGCCGGATAATAAGCCCCCTCTAGGGTGGATATTGTCTCCAGTGTCTCAGTGAACCAGCGCCCAGTCTGTTGCTGTGCAGGGGGCTGGGGAAGAGAATTACACTGATGGGCTGGGAGGGGACTGAATTGGTCTTTTCTTTCCTTTTCTTCTAGACTTAGATAATTCCAGACCCATAGCGATCTCTCCTGCTTAAGAAATCCAGGGCATAAGCTTGTGGTTTTGTGCCTGTCAGGGCTTGGTCTGGTTGAAACTTTTCCCCCACTTCCGCCTGTCCTCCAGACAGATCTGCAGAAGCAGGAATGTGGGTATCATCAGTGAAATCTCCACCCAGCAGAAAGGGGGTTGGGCCAGTGCCTGTTTTTGAGGCAGCACTAGGATCCAGACTCAGCCTGAGCAAAAGGGAGGGACCTCTACACAAAATATTGACTCCTCGGGCAGGAATTGCTTCTCCAGCCCCTATTTGGGTACCTCCAGGGAGCTCACTCCTATTCTTCATGGGGCTTCTCTGGTCCTTGCTTAGGTAGGTGGTGCTGTCAGGGAAGTGGGGGGAGCAGGTGAGCAGGAAGGGCCCTGGGGATCCTGCTCCTGATGGGGCTTCTCTCTCCTTGGCTTAGATTCCGGCAGAGTTCCTCTATCTCGTCTTGTTGCTGATTGAAGGTGCCCCCTTCAATTTTTCTCCATCTCCTGGGAGGTAGCAGGAAATCGGCATCATGGTTGGGTTCAAGGCCACAGATGTGCCCCCTACTGCCACTGTGAAGTTCCTGGGGGCTGGCACAGCTGCCTGCATTGCAGATCTCATCACCTTTCCCCTGGATACTGCCAAAGTCCGGCTGCAGGTGAGGGGAGGAAGCCTGGGGTCCTGATGGTGTCTAGTCTGCTCCCTCCCCAAGACACAGAACAGACTTGTTCTCAAGGGCCAGTGGGGTGTTTGGGAATGTAAACTTTGGAGCATAGGGATGGCAGGAGATGGGGAGGGCAACCTGCCTATCCCTATAACTATCATGTCTTGGCCTTGCAGATCCAAGGAGAAGGGCAGGGGTTAGTGCGGGCTGCAGCCAATGCCCAGTACCGCGGTGTGCTGGGCACCATCCTGACCATGGTGCGCACCGAGGGCCCCCGCAGCCTCTACAACGGGCTGGTCGCCGGCCTGCAGCGCCAGATGAGCTTTGCCTCCGTCCGCATCGGCCTCTATGACTCCGTCAAGCAGTTCTACACCAAGGGCTCTGAGCGTGAGTGTGGAGCTGGCCCATAGGCCCCTTGGCCTTTTCTTCTCGGTGATTGATCCTAGTTCACTTTGCTGCAAAGTGAACTTGGGAACTCCTTTGGCTCCCAAGGTCCCTAGGAGGACCAGAGGTACTGAGAACTAGAATGGGCCCTGATTCTCCTAATGATTCCTGAGCACCTGGGCTGTGTCAGGCTCTGAGCAGGGCATCATCCCATGAAGTCCTTACAACCACCTTGAAAGTTAGTCCTCATGTTAGAGATGGAAGACATGAGGCTTGCAGGGATGGGGACTTGGCCAAGGGCCCATAATGGGGAGCCAGAAACACACCCAGGACTTTTGCCTCCGAGGCCAGCACTCTTCTATTTCATCTCCTCAGTATGCCATGCCCACCCTCCGTTTTACACATGTGGATATGGAGAAGCCCGATCAAAAGGTCAGCTTTTTCCGAGATCACATGGCAGGGAGAAGTAGATCTGGGATGAGAACCCAAGTCTTATGAGTCCCGGTCCTTGGGAAAGCCACTTCTCTCTGACCCTTGGTTTTTACATTTGTCACATGGAAATGATTCTGACTTCTCATGGCTGTCAAGCAGGTTAAATGAAGTGAATGAAAATGCTTTATGAAAGAAAGCACTAAGTCTCATTTTGTTCTACTCCTTGCTGTGTCCCAGTGCCTAGCAAGTAGTAGACACAGTGATACTTTGATGCTAGGAGTTCTTAGAGCAAGAGCTGGTCTGGATCCTGTTCCCAAAAGGCAAGAGATTACCTTGCCTTGGGAACTCCTTTGGCTCCCAAGGTCCCTAGGAGGACCAGAGGTACTGAGAACTAGAATGGGCCCTGATTCTCCTAATGATTGTTCCACCAGATGTTCCCAAGATGGTGGTTCTGGTAAGGGGAGGCACGCCCAGCTGGCTGCTGACCCCTGTGGTTCTCCCACAGATGCCAGCATCGGGAGCCGCCTCCTGGCAGGCAGCACCACAGGTGCCCTCGCTGTGGCTGTTGCCCAGCCCACGGACGTGGTAAAGGTCCGGTTCCAGGCTCAAGCCCGGGCTGGAGGTGGCCGGAGATATCAAAGCACTGTTGATGCCTACAAGACCATTGCCCGAGAGGAAGGGTTCCGAGGACTCTGGAAAGGTGGGTACTAGGTGTTTCTTCCTCTCCATCTTCCTCCTTCCCCATGCCCTGGTCTCACATAGACACCCTTTCCTCCTGTAGGGACCTCTCCCAATGTTGCGCGTAATGCCATTGTCAACTGTGCTGAGCTGGTGACCTACGACCTCATCAAGGATGCCCTCCTGAAGGCCAACCTCATGACAGGTGAGTTAGGGTAGATGGTGCTGGGTCTCGCCCTTCCCCCAACCCGGGATGGGGCGTGAGAGTCTGGTTGCCTGAGGACCACATCTTTTCATCTTGTTTCCCCTTTGCTTGTGGGGTGAGTTTCTCTCTCTCCTTTGCCATATTGAGGCCAACTGGGGTGAAGCTCCCATTTTGCACATTGAGGTCCTGAGGCTAGATTGGCAAAATGACTCCTAGGTCCTCAGGAGGGCTCCCAGCTGGAGTCTCTGTCTCTCTAAAACCACGAGACCTCCTAGCTACCTAAATGATCTCTTCCCTATGGAATGATGGGGTGAGGAGTCCTGACTGCCTTGCCTGCTCCTCCTCCTTGGCAGATGACCTCCCTTGCCACTTCACTTCCGCATTTGGGGCAGGCTTCTGCACCACCATCATTGCCTCCCCTGTCGACGTGGTCAAGACGAGATATATGAACTCTGCCCTGGGCCAGTACAGCAGCGCTGGCCACTGTGCCCTTACCATGCTCCAGAAGGAGGGTCCCCGAGCCTTCTACAAAGGGTGAGCCTCTGATCCACTCCCCAATTCCAGGCCTCCTATCACACAGTGGGAGAGAACCACCTGGAACTGAGTAGCAACCAAGTGTCAAACTATTTGATCCTGGTCCTGGTATTTCACCAGCATTCTCTCATGTTCTTAACTCCTTCCTCCCAGAGTTATTATCATCTCTACTTTATGGATGTTAAAATGGAGACTCACAGGGGTCTCTTGCTCATAGTCATACAGCTCTGGGGCTCCATTACCTGGACCCTCCCAGCCTCCTTTGGGACAGTGCAGCTGGGTTGGATTGGATGCCAGGGCCCAGCAGGATGAGTGGAAGGTGCCTGCTGTGACCTGTGTTTTCTCCCTTCTAGGTTCATGCCCTCCTTTCTCCGTTTGGGTTCCTGGAACGTGGTGATGTTCGTCACCTATGAGCAGCTGAAACGGGCCCTCATGGCTGCCTGCACTTCCCGGGAGGCTCCCTTTTGAGCCTTCCTGCTGCTGACCTGACCAGCTCTGGCTTTGCTTTGGCTCCAGCCAGGCCCTGCTTCCCTTCTCCTCCTCCCCTCTTTCCCTTCTCCTTCTCCCCTCCTTCCCTTCTCTCTCTCCCCACCCGTTCCTTCCACTCCCTCTTCCATCACCTCCCTTCCCTCTCCCCACATTCTCACACCTATTCCCTAACTCATCTCCCATTGCCTCTCAGTCCTGGTGGAGTTGACCCCACCTGACGCTGTGGGAGGCCTGGCACCAGCCAGGATCCCAAGCCCTCAGTCCCTCGAAGAGTTCAGCCCGACTCTTCATCCTTCCCCTGAGCCCAGCCCCACCAGCACATGACCCATAAAGCAACCTCAACCTTGGTGTCTCCTCCCTCTCTTGTAGCTGTTAGCAGAGGTCTTGGTCTGATGGGCCCTCTTGACAGCTGGTGGGCCGGGGAGGAGCCACCTGACTTCAAAAGGGGGTGTGACCCACCTTCCACCACCAGCGTCCAACCTGGGTCCGGTGGAAGTCAGCTAGCCCATTTTGCTCTCCAGACCAGGCCTAGGGCTGAGGTGGCAAGTGAAGGAGCAGCCCAGAGTCACAGCAGTGGCCTTGCCTCCCCTCCCCTGCCAGGCCACTTGAGCTTTCACTCAGCCAGTGCCTGGTACTCCAGCACCTGCCTGTCCAACCCCCCCGGCTGGCCCAGCCCGTTTATCTGCAAAATGAAAGTCTGCCCTGTGTCTCCTGTGCTTCTTGGAAGATTTAGAGGAACTTGAGAATCTCAGATGCCACAGGCTTATTTTATTCCATTTTACAAGTGGGAAATCCACCTCCCCAAAGTCCCAGACCTAGTGAGGGCAAGTCAGGCTGCTTCCCGTCCTCCACAGGCACACCCTCACTGGGTGGAGCAGGCTGCAGGGCAAACATCCGGCCTTGGCCTGAGGACACTTCCATTTGGAGTCTCACCCTCTCCCGGGCCTAGAGATCCCAAGGGGGTGGTGACAACCCAGGGCTTAGGCTGCACAGGGGTGTATGCCTCCCTGTCCCTCCTCCTACGACCTGTCCTCAGAGGCAGGACAGCAGGTTGGCAGAGCTACTTCTGTTTCGACGGTCAGGGGACTCAGGTCCAGTCCTGAGGCATCTCATGTAGTTCTGGGCCCTTAGAACTAAGTCATCCAGGCCCATTTTATAGATGTCTGAAGAGTTGAGGGCTGAGACAGGTCATGCAGGCAAGGACACAGGAAGTCAGCAGCTGAACTGGGACTACGACTCAGCCTCCTCCCTCTGCCTGTGGACTCTTACCCCAGGACCAGTGCTGGGGTCCTTCAGCAATCCTCTTGGGCAGCTGTGGAGCCAGGCCCAGAGAACACGACCTCCCACTTCCCACAGCTGAAAGCAGCTGACCCTGCTGCTCCTTCCCCACTGGTCAGAGCTGGAGGCTGGGCCCTTCAGTGCTTGAGCAAGGGGGCCAGGAGAAAGAAGGAGGGCCCAGGATTCCTCACCTTACTTCCCACCTCACAAATTGAGCTGAGGCCTCATAGTCCCCAAGAGGGACAGGGTTGGGTGCCATGAGTTGAGCCTGGGTGATGGTGGCGGGCAGCCCAGCTAGACTCCTCTGCTGGGCTACAGGGAGTCAGCATAAATGGAGGACCTGGTCAATGCACCGTAATTCTCACGTTAATCCTGTTAATTCTCAGGTTAACTGTTTTGCACCAGAAAAAACGTGTAGTTTGTTGCCCTGGGCACGTCTATCAGCAGGTTCATTCACCAGCCTTGTGTCCCAGATGCTGGAATGAACACAAGGCCACCAGACTTCATCATGGTTCTGGGCATGATCCTGGGGCAATGGGGAGCTGGGAAAGGTGGTAGGAACCACTAGGCAGTGTACTGGTACGCCTCAGTGACTCAGTAACTGGCCCTCAATCCTCAATGCCTATAACATGGGCATATGATAAGCCCTGTTTTGCCTGACTCACAAGGCAGCACTGTAGATCACCAAGGTAATAGAACTCACATACAGGTGTCTGATCAGGCCAGAGACCAGGCTTCCTTCAGAGCCTCACCATGAGGCAGAGGTTAGGAGCAGGCCTGCTGGCCTGGAGGAGACAGGGCAGCTACCACCACCCCTCTCTACCTGGGTCCTTCCTCAGAGGGCAGAGTCGGCTTCACTCATCTGGTTTCTACAAGGCCTGCAAGATAGGAGTTGTCTTTGCTGTCAGAAACAGGCTCTGGGAGGTGAAGCAATTAGCCCGAGGGCACACAGCTGGTAAGTAGCACACCTGAGATGTATCTAACTCCAGAGCCCACGTTAGTGACGGTGGAAATGCTTCCCAGAACCCAGAATCCAGATTCTACATCTCAAGGTGTGCAGCTGCTGCTTTCTCCCTGATGGTTTAAAAGTGGCTGACTAGTGCTACTGAGTCCCCATTTAAGAAAAAAACCTTAAGCTAATACAGTGCTTTGAAGGGGGGAATCCAAGCAAGATGGACAACATGGGGGCCTTTTCTGGCACCTCTGAAGTCACTCCACAAAAGTGGCCACCTACTGTCATAAGCTTGGACCTATCACAGCCCAAACCCAGACTCGAGGGGAGTCTCCCCTGGCACAGGAGGTGCACAGCACTGTTGTTGACTGATGGAAAGCAGATTGTGGAGGCGGGTGTGGTCTGCCGAGGCCCAGCTGGGCCTGGAGGTGGGGATTCCCACAGGCCACGGCGCAGCGATGCTGTGACTCTGAAATCTAAGCAGCAAGTTCACCAAGCACTTTCACACCAATGACTCAATCTTCACAAGCAGCCTGAGGGGCGTTATGACCTCTGCTTTACGCATAAGACAGGGACAGTAACGTCCAAGGGGTCAGGGGCAAGGCTGGGAGTAGAAGTCAGGCCTCCTGCCTCCCAGACCACCGTGCCTAGAGGCAGCCCAGGACCCATGGCACAGACCAGGGACTTGAGGCTGGCAAGGTAAAAACCAGAGCCATTCCAGCGCATATGTCCTTTGTGCTGCTCTGATCTAAGCAGGGTGAGTCCATGGGAAGTGGCCCTTGAGGTTCTGAGGACAGCTTTGCCACTGAGCCCTGTGTGACCTGGGACAAGTGTTTTCTCTTTGTCCTTCAGTTTTCCTGAGAACAATGTCACCATATCATGCTCTCAAGTCAGCCCCTTGTAAAGATCGTGTGTCATGAGAAATCAGAGCAGAGCTGGGGACCCTCACATAGCACTGCCCCACGCTATCAAGGTGGGAGCACAGAGGCTCTGAATCCTCAGGGACATGGCCACGCCCACAAAGCCAGGACAAGGACCCAGGTTCTTGGCTTCTTGGGCCCTGCCCTTCCCTCTGTTCCACAAGAAGGGCTATAAGACACACCTCTCCCTCCAACACACTCTCCTGGGTGTAGCTGGAGGAAAGGAAATAAATCTTTATTGTGTCAGTTTAAAAGTCCCATGCCATCCCAGCCTCCCGTCACATCAGCACAGTGGGCTGGCTCCCCTGCACACCCTGAGGCTGTGGGAGTAGGAGCTGGGTAAGGCCCAACTAGCGTTCCCCTCCTCCTGGTCCTGCCCCCAGCCCACCAGAGTTATGTCAGCAATGCCTGGCGCAGCATCTGCTTCTTCTGGGGTGTGAGGCGGGTGGGGAACTGGATGTCGAAGAAGATGAAGAGGTCTCCCTTCTTGGTGGGGTCCTCAGGCAACGGCATCCCCTCACCTGGCACCTTCTTGAAGTACTTGGGACTAGGACAGGGGAGGATGAAAGAAGGGAGCTTAGAGGGCCCCTCGGAGCAGCATTTCGACAGATCCCCCGCCTCCCCTGCTTGCGTAACCTCAGGCATGGGGCAGTCACTACAGCTGCCACCATGGGATGGCTCTTTCCAGCCAGAACCAGGTGGGAGTGGAGGGGAGACTGGCTTGTTCCAGACAGCTTGCTCCCTGAAAACCATTTACACTGAGTCTCTGATGGAGGATTCCAGGAATCTTGTTTCGATATGGGAAACAGGACAAGGAAGGAAGGAAGGTGAGCAGACCCTAGGTTGGGGGTGGGGAGTGCTGGGCTACTGAGCAAAGCGTCCCATGCAGAGGGCCTTTCTTGGAAAAGGACTTAGGGGATGCAACTCAGAACTCTAATGAGAGCTTTTAGAGGGTGAAGGCAACAAGGATTGCCCAACTCTGGAGGCCTCTGACCTCTGCAGTGGCTTCGTGCAAGTTAGAAAAAGGCACTCCATTTGCCAGCTGAATGCAAACCACAGCTTGGCCAGAGTGGGGGCCGGATTTCAGTCCTCTCTCACCCCCTTGTGCTGGGTGGAACCTGCAAAACTGTACCAGGCCATGTCTGCCACTATCCTCTCCTGGGAAGTGAGGCCCAGGCCAGCCCTTCCCCTGCCTACCAGGACCCAAGCAGATGGACTCACTGGACGATGTCATTGATGGGAATGTTGAGCAGACGGTCGTCTAGGGTCTTCACTTCCACGGTGCAGCAGGTCAGAGCCTAGGGCACATTCGGGCCAAAGGAAGGTCCCCATAGCCATTCTGTTTAGAAGGCACTTTATGAGTCTATTCAGTGCCAGTCCCTGAGCTGGGCCTCAAGGAGACGAAAGGGTGGTCAAGGACTAACAGGTGAGTGACCCAGGCAGTTACCTGCCCTCAAGGAGTTCACAGTCTGGTAGGTAAGATTGATGTTGACATGTTGACATGTGTTACGATAGAGGGAAGTAAAGGGGTCTGTGGGAGCCAAGGAGAGGCCTCCAAACCATTCCGGGGTGGGACAGGAGGGCTACACAGTGGTGGTAGCAGTTGAAGCGTTTCTTAAAGGGTGAGGAGGAGCTTGCCAGTTAGACAAGGTGGGTAGACAGCATTCCAGGCAGAGGGCCCAGCATAAACAAGAGAGCGAAGGTGTGAAAATGGGCGGGAGCTCTAAGCGGCACAGTGGCTGGAGTGCAGGGGATGAGATCAGCAAGGGCCAGAGAGCAGAGGCCTTGAATGCCATGCGAAGATGTTTAGACAGTGAGGAGTGTGGCATGGTCCCATGAGTATGTGGAAAGACTCCTTTGGGGAAGAGCCTGGAGGAAATGGGAAGGGAGGCAGGAGGGCCACCGAGGCGGCTGCTGCACAGATCCAGATGCGCAGACCCGGACAGTGGGGAGGAACAGAAGCGGACCAAGTAGAGAGAGATTTGGAGATGGAACTGACAGGACCGAGTGGCTGACTGCAGGTTGGGTCGGGGAGGGGAGGCAAAGTCTGTCTAGGCTGGTGCCCAGTTTCTTGCTCCAGTTGTGAGGGTGTGGAGGAGCCACTCACACTCATGAGTGTGGATAGCTGCGAAGATTCCTTGTGGCACTCCTGATGTTCTGAAGGCCTGCATGGTGCACTGAGGTGAGTGGAGAGTGAGGCCAGCTTGCTTCGGGGCCTCCCACGGGGCAGGGCGGGGGGTGGTTCACTCTGATCCGCCCACCCCCTGCTCCTTCACTTTGCCCACTCACCTTGCCCAAGGGGATGGGGTTCACAAAAAAGAGGTTATCATTCTCTCTGCGGAAACGAGGGTGTAGCTTCTCCTTTACGATGAAGATGATGTCGGCTGGGATGATGTTGGGGCCCTGGGCAGGGGAGGCCAACGGGTGACAAGGACTAATTGGCTGTGTGACCTTGGCCAAGTTCCTGCCTCTACTGGTCTCTATGTCTTTATCTGAATAATGAAGAGATTAGACCAGGTTTTCTAGAAAGGCCTTTTCAGTTTGGCCCCATAGCTCTTCCTCCAAGAAGCCTACCAGGATGAATCCTTCCCCCCCATTACTTCTCCTCTACTGAGCATGTCCAAATGGATGCACTCAGCTGGAGGGAGACAGAGGCTTCCTCAAATGGCGGGCAGAACACTGGGCTGGGTGTCAGAGAAATGCCCACAAGCCTCTGTCCTGCCAAGCTTCATTAAGTCACCAAAACTCTGCTGAGGTCTCTTCTGGGCACTGGGGATGGAGGAATCAGACTGGCCCCTACCCCCAGGGAGCTCCCAGTCTAGAGGGGAAGGAGACAGTGAATCCTCAGCATGCTCAAGACTGTGATAAAGGGAACCCTGAAGCGGGAGCTCAGAGAGGCGCTGACCCAGGCGGGGAGGTCAGAGGAGGCTGCCCAGAGCAGGGAGCGTTGGGGTGGGTCTTGAAGGGGGTTTTGGAAGGAGATGTTTCATGGGTGAGAAAGTGGGCAAAAAGTATGGGCAGAGGAATTCATCTCTCTCAGCTCTGAAGACACCATCGCTCTGCCTCTTCTCAGGACTTAAAGACTCAGCATGCCTTGGACAATAATTTTATATTTTTATTTAAATAAGTATCTAATTTTTTTTTAATTTTATTTATTTTTTCCCCCACAGCCCCAGTAGATAGTTGTATGTCATAGCTACGCATCCTTCTAGTTGCTGTATGTGGGACGCGGCCTCAGCATGGCCGGAGAAGCGGTGCGTCAGTGCGCCCCCGGGATCCGAACCTGGTCTGCCAGCAGCGGAGCGCGTGCTCTTAACCACTAAGCCACGGGGCCGGCCCTAAATAAGTATCTAATTTTGAAGTATTATTAATAAATGGCTTCTGAGTAGCTCCTATAGTTGGGCTTTACTCAGAGAAACTGAAGAAAATGAAGACGGGCACTAGAGTTAGGACTGGGTTCTCCTTTCAGCTCTTGTGCTCGTGCCCCGGGCAAGTCCCTTCCCTCTCTGGGCCTAAGTTTCCCACTCTGCAAAGTGGCGAGAAGGCCTGGGCTGCCCACTCACAGAGGCGTTGTGAGGCTCTGTCCCTCGGGAGGGACATTAGGGACCATCTCACCCACCCTGCACACTGGTCTCCCTGCCAGACCAGGGCGCACAGGAGCAGGAAAAGCATTGCCTCCTTCCCTCTCAGTCTTCCCACCACGCGAGCCCAGGCGACTGACCCTAGCACTCACCCCCATCAGCTTCCCTCTCTCTCACCTGGTCCCCTTCCTTCTCGAAGGTGATACGTGTGCCCTGCCTCCAACCAGGCTTCACGTCAATGGTGAGGATCTTGTCCTTGATGGTAGAGGAGTACCCATCCTCGTTCAGCACCTGCAGTGAGATGGCGTGGGGGAGGTTTGCTCAGGATTTCCCAGGTGGCCTTTAAACACGTGAAAGATGCTCTGTGGGATCTGTGTTCAACTTAATCCTCTAGCAACAGGGAGAACCTGCCCAGAGCTATTCCTACTCCCACCCCCTTCCACTGGAACTGACAAGAGATTTTCACATATTAAGGTGTATGGGGTAGCTATTCTGGTTCAAAACTGTTTTGGTTTGAACTAAAGAAACCTGATTTATGGCCTATCAAACATATATTGTATATCTGCTATAACCATTAAAGAATGCTTTCAACATCAGCTCAAAGTAAAAGAATGCACTCTTTTAAGATAAGGATGCATACTTCCCCTCCTATACCCACCAGTATCAGTAACACTCTTATCAGTACTCCTGAAGATGTTTCCATCATGTTGACCTGCTAATTTGCAACTGAATACCTCTTTGAAACTTTGATGAATAGGTATCCTGGCCGTGTTTAATGTATGTTCTTTGTTCTAAAAAGGTATAAAAGTATAAAACTGTACTGAAAATCATGCTTCCTTCCTTTGTGGAAACTGCCTTCCTAGGTTATAATCCTCAACTTGGCTCAAGTAAAACTCACCTTATCTCTCTTATCTACAGAATGGTTATTGGTTATTTTGCGTCAACAGAACCAAGAATTAATGATTTGAGGATGGCAGGGCGTGTCATGGGGCTGAGGCCTGAGATGCCAAGCAGTCACCATGAGTTGATCAAGCCCACAACTCCAGCCCTAGAAATCACATGGCCCTGGCCACTAACAGATGCACAGTGACCATTTACTCAGTTCCTCTTCCACCCGGAGGCTCTGGCCCTGAGCCTCTGGCAGGTCTCTTAATCCTGATGGGAGAAAGACCACAGAGATCAACATATCTGAGCCTCACCTGAAGCATTCCTCTATTATGTCATCCATCCATTCCCATCCATCCAATCACATGCCCAGGTGGGTGCCATCTGTGGAAAGCATGGCCACAGTTGGCATCTCCTCTGCTAGACAAAGGTGTGAGGGGGGCCTTGTTCTTGTGCCTAGCACAGGTCTGGGTCATGGGACTGAGGGTCTTCCTCAACCAGTCAGTCCCCTTGGGGACTGTCTCCCAGCCCACCCTCCACGCCCACACTGTTCCCTTGTTCTCATGAGGCATACACCCTGATCAAACCCTGCGGGTATAGTGTGGTAATGCCCAGAGGGTAGAATTTGCAGGAGACTCCTTCCATTCAGAGCCCAAACTTCCCACAGGGATGGGGCTGAACTGAGAAGGGAAAGATCCCATCCCAGTCAGGAACACTGCAGAGGGGATTCCTGCACTAGGAAAGAAAAGGGCTGATACCCTCAGTTGTCCCTTCCAAACTTCAGATTCTAGAATTCTACAATCCTAGGTCTCCAAATCTAAGATTCCATGGTTCCATCAGAGGCCGTACCTGAGGTCTCCAGTTAGGGTCAGGGAGGAGGTGACAGGTAGGTTAGATGGGATAGATGGTGGCTGCCAGTAGGAGCAAGGCAAGTACTCACCCTTCGGGAGATCTTAATTTTCTTGGTGCAGCCAAAGAATAAGTCCTCCAAGGATAGGTAGAGGTCTCGTTCAACTGGGGGGTCCTGTTTCCTGACCCCTCGGCCCCGGAGCCCCCCAAAGTTCAAATCCACCTCACTTCCTTCTTCGTCAAAAAACTCTACAGCAGGTGGGGAGAGGAGAGGAGTAAGAGAGATTGTGTTCAAAGACTCGGATTCATAGTTATCCTCTCCTCTCCCCTCTTCAGTCCCCAAGCGTGACACCCAGAAACCCATTACTACCTTGCAGACTCAGACTGTTTGGTCAGGCCAAGAAGCTGTCCTCAATTGCAGATCAATGATTATCATCCCTTGCCACTCCTCACTGCGGATCTCCCACTTTGGACATCCCCCCCCCTCTCCTCATTCCCTTATCAGGTAACTTGGGGAAGCATCCCTCAACACTGGCTGCCTCAGGAGAGGATGCCCTCTGGTGGCAGCACCTGGTAATGCCAGAAATGACTCATGCTGTTAGCTTTTGTGGGAGAGGGTCATAGCATGCCAGTCCTCTCTACCCTTCCCCCTCACTGTCCAGCCCAGCCCAAGACCACTAGAGACCCCAGTCTCAAGTTTCTCCGAAGTCAGAAGCTGAGATGGCAGTGGAGCAGGGTTGGTCCCTAACAAATTTGAGGTCACCAGCATACCCCCAAACTCCTCTTTTGCCCCTGCCCAGCTCCACACCCATAACCCCTCTTGCAGCCTGCCCTTCCATCCTAGTGCAAAGAGAGCCCCTGTACCTTGACATGCTGTGCAATCATTTGGGCTTCAGCTTCTCCATCTGTGGGATGGAGTAATAATACCTGGCCTGCCCTCCACCGTTAGGGTTAGATAACAAGATCATGGAGAAGAGCTAAAACTTGCTGAGAGCTCACGATGTGTCAGGTGCTGTTTTCAGCTCTTTGCATTATTATTTCATTGGGCCAAGAGGCCATACAAAACGCCCACAGCCCCACAGCTAGTACGTGGTAGAGTTGGGATCTGAACCCAGATAATTAGACGATAGAACCTGTGCCCTTAACCACTATGCTTATTGCTAGATATGAAGCTCTTTGTAAACTGCAGAGTCAGGGGTCACTATCATGATTAAAATTGTTTGTACTCTGCCTCTCATGCTTAGTGCCATGAAATGAACTTCACAGGCTAGAATGGTGCAATGACCTTAGGCTGGGGATGTTACTACCCAAGGCGGGTCGTCTGCCCACAGCAAGACATCTCAGTAGTCGAGAGGCAGGGTGGTAGGAGAGAAAGGGTTTTATTACAGCTTGCTAGCAAGGAGGAAGATGGCCAACTAATCTCCGAAAGAACCATCTTAGAGAACAAAGACTACAGGCCAGTTATATAAGGGGCTGTTCTCCAGGTGGGGGGAGGCATCTGGTCTCCAGGTGGGGCAGATATCTAGTCTTAGTTCCTGATAATCTTTTGTTTTACTGGATATGCAGAGATGGGAGCAATGCCCTATACCCTGATTTAGTTTCAAGATAATAAGAATCAGAGGTCATTCAAAGTTACAATATGGTTTCTTTTCTACAATATTGCTTCCCTTATGTCAACCTTTCGCTGAGCCAGTATCAGGGAGGGTAAGGCGGGGTGGCACTATGTCTCCCTAAGATGTGATGAGTAATTGAGAGGCCTGTGAATTACCTAGTCCCCTCTTGCATTGCTGAATTCATTTGTTCACCCAGCACCTATGGTGTGCTGGGTCTCAGAGACCCCAATAGCCAGGAAGCCCAGCCCCTCGACTCTGCAGGGAGATTGGATACAAGAACCCCTAGGGTGAAGCACTGTAGCAGAATAGCTCCTGGGCACTGCCCGAGGGACCCCCAAACCCTGAGCTTGACCCTTCCTAATGAGCGACGCTTCTTAAACTCTGGTTTGGCTCCTCTGAACTGCCTCTTTTCCATGTACCTGTCCCTGGGAGGGACAAGTCCATTGTATGGCATTTTTCTGACTGCAAAGCCCATTTCCATAAACATTATCTCATTTGATAATGACCTGTGAGGCATGGACTATTTAATGGTGAGAAAGCTGAGGTTTCAGAGAGCTGAAGAGATTTGCCCAGGATCACACAGCTCAGAAGCGGCAGTGCATGGATTTGAAACAGGCCCTCTGACTCCTTGCTTTTTCCAGTCTCGCGTGGAGTTTATACCTCAGCTTCCTCTGGCAGACAGATGAGGGCAATGCACCGTGGGAAGGGTCTCTGAGTTGGAAGGGCAGTGGGCTGTAGCCCACTCGTCTTATTAACATGGAGAAGAGGAAGAGAGAGCTTTGAAATGCAGACAGGCTGTAGTATAGCCAGGGAGAAAGGCCTGGGGGGGACAGGCTGTGAAAATCTAGACCCTCTGAGTTGCATAACTGAAGCCAGGAAGATAAATCTGAAGGTTAATTGTCCTTGAAAGACGATTCTGAGCCTCAGAAATCAACTGTTTGTCAGTTTGTCCGGGACCTGGGATCATCCACCCATCCATCCATGTACTCATCGAACACACACCTGTACAATGAAATCTTCTGCAGCCATTAAAATGAATAAAGTAGATCTGTGTATAATACATAATAAAATAATCTCCAAGACATATTAAGTGAAAAAATCAGTATGTACAATGTGATTCCATTTCTTTAACAAAATAAAAGGCTTATGTAAAAATAAACATATGCTCATAAATGCATAGAAAATTATTGTAAGGATACATAAAGTGTTAACAGTGAGTGGCTGCTTCTGGAGAAGGAATAGAGAGCTGGAATTTATTATTTCTTTAATACATTTTCTTTTCTTTTTTTTTTTTAACCATGTGCTATATATATATTGCTTAAAGTAAACAAAAGAAAACTACTCAAAGCAAAGTATCTTCTACAGCTATGTCTTTTCCCAGTAAGGCAAGGGGTAGACAGGACCTCTTACCACCAAAGGGGTTGTCCCCTCCAAAGAACTCGTGGAAAACCTTTTCGGGGTTGCCGTGGAAGACGTAACCAGTTGTCCATGGGGTCTGGGATCCAAACTCCAGAGGAATCCCGCCCTTCAGGCCCTCCTCTCCAAACTTGTCATAGATGCTTCTCTTCACAGCTGTGGATATGTGTCACCTTGAAGAGGGGTCCAGCCTTGGGGGCTGATAGCTGGAGGGCTGGGAAGCAGGAGGATATGGGGCCGAGAGGAAGAGACAAAAACAGCTTGGCAGTCTTTGGAGGGAGACCCTAGAATTTAGGTGTTTAATTTCATTGTGGGTGGACCAGGTGTGGTCCCTTAGCCCAGAGGAGAGAGGGGTAAGTCTGAGACTCGCTGGGGAAGGAGGAGGGATTGGAGGAGGAATCAAGAGACTCAGGGTCAGGCTATTGTCCTGGGATTTCGCTTAACTCAGTCATCATAGCTACTGTCTCATCTGGGGTAAATAGAATTCTAGAACCTTGGAATTCTAGAATCTAAGAATTCTAGAGCTTCCAAATTCTAGAGCTTTGAAATCCTAGAGTCTAAGGACTCTAAATTCCTGCAAATTCAGGGCTGGAGAAACCTCAGTGATCTGGCCATTCTTCTGCACAGTGTCCATGATTGGTCTCCAGGACAAGCCCTTAGGGAAACCCACATGGGCACGGGCCCAGGCAGAGGGGGGAATCACACTTTCTCCACTCTTCTGGTTTCCGTAGGAGAGAGGTTTCCTAACTACTGGCCTCTCTCTGCCCCTTTATACACATGCTGTCCATGGGGAGATGGAGATTTAGCTACTTGGAAATCCGGGAAGAATAACTGGGCATGCCTGCTTCAGCGTAGCCTTCTTCCCTTGGCAGCAAGAATCTCACTCTCTCCATCCCTGCAGGGACAGGTGGGGGGTGGGGGATGTGGGGCCAGAGCTCCCCAGGTCCTGCCCTGCTGAGACTGAGTGAGCACATCAGCCTAATTCCGGGGCTTTCCACGCCATGTCCCCAACCTTAGCTTGTGTCTACAGAGAAAGGCGATTCTTCAGTCTGCTTTCTTCCTCAGTTTGTTTCTATTCTGGGCAAGGAAGAGGAATGCTTACTCTCTGTTGGGCCCCCTCAAAAAGCCTGACACTCAAAGACTTAAGGAATAATCTTAACGGAGAAGTGGGAGAGAAGATGTCCTGGAGTCCCTCCTGCATGCTCAGCCCCAGTCACTCACGGTCACTCAGCACATCATAGGCCTCTGCTATTTGCCTGAACGTCTCTGCTGAGGATGGCTCAACGGACTTCAACGGGTGGTTCTTAAGGGCAAGTTTCCGGTACCTACAGGAGGGAGGGTTAATACAAGTCACAGCAGCTGCTATGTCACTGAGGCGCAGACCATGGTCCAGAGCTGGTTCTGCTGTCTACTGCCTGGTGGCCTCTCAGAGCTTGGATGTTCCCCGCAATAAATCAAGCCAACCCTTCCTTCCTTCTCCTTTCACAGCTCTCAGACCCTCACTGTGGTCTGAAGACTCTCCCTGCGTGCCCCTGCTCCCCCTTCACCCTCACAAGTGTTTCCCCCAGTACATTTCTTGCATATTTAATTCCATCTTGGTGTCTGAACCGACATGCAGCCTTCTTGGAAATGTTAGGTAAAATAAGGTGTCGAAGGCCTGGTGCAGAGAGGCACTCAGTGCCTGTCGGGTCCTTTCGCTGTCTCCCACCTCCGTGCTCATTCTTTTCCCCATTCTGTATCCGCCCAATTGCACCGCTCAGTGATGAGATGCCTGCAGCATCTGAGAATCTGTATCATCAGTGTCCCAGGAGGACAGAGATGGCATGAACTGGGTGATTTGTGGAGATTTTAATTAAGAACGACTCACCAAGGTGCGGGAAGTGGGGAGGGAAACCACAAGGAACAGTGCAGTATCCCTGAGGCCAGGAGCCCTCAGGTACCCTGGCCACCCCTGAGCCTATAGGAGTGAAGGGAGGAGAGGTTACTGAAATCCCTCAGGAGAGAGTGTGTGGACAGGGCCCTTGGCAGGAGCTGTGATCTTCAGGTAAGGGTGGACATAGACAACCTGAGGAGACTCCATAGGAAGGGAGCTGGGAATAAACACCCCAGCCCCACTCTCCTCCCTCCATCTCCTGCCTTGTGGTCCCTTTAGCGGCTGCATCAGGAAGACTGAGGGCCAGAAGTCTACTGATGCAGTTCAGAGGGCCAGCCTCCAGAGCAGAAGGCAGGGTGGGGGAGGTGGGGAGTGGGTCTGGAGGAGCAAAAGGAGGGCATCAGCGGCCTCCTAAGTCACTCAGTACAAATTCGACCCTACATTCCCTTCGCCGGGTCAGAGTGTGGCTCACACGGTCTATGCTGGTGACTGCAGAGTTCTGCTGCTTCTCTTTTCCCTCTGCACACTCACCACGGACAAACTCATCTAGCCCACAGCTTTGAGTATGACCTACTTGCTGATTACTCCCAAATCTCTATCTCAAACCAGGCCACTTCGCTGAACTCCGGACTTCTGTATCCAGCTGCCTACTTGGTATCTCCTCCTCAATGGCCCACACGCCCTACAAACTCAGTGAGCCCAAACATGAACACGTTTTCATTCCCTCATTTGCCCCCATTTGTCCAGACACTGCAGCAGCACAGCTGAGCATTATCTTGGCCTCCACGTTGCCCTTTGTCCCCTCCACCCCCGTCCCATCAGTCACCAAAGCGGAACTAATGCTCTGCTCCTGCCCCTTCCTCCCTACAACAGAACCAGGTCCTCCTGTTGCAGTTTCCCCCTCTCCAGTCTATTCTGTGTGCTGCCGCTGGTTTGATCTCTCTCCCTTTTGTTAACTTGATGCTTCTAAGATGCTCCCTAACCAAGTCCCCCTCCTGCCTAAATCCTTCACTGGTTCCCCCTTTGTCTTCAGCATAAAATCCAAATGTCTCTAAGAAAGATTCAAGCCCCTGCTTCTCTCTCTGGCCTTCTCCTCCCTCACAGCTCTCCCTCCCTGCTCCCATGACCTCTCCTGCCCTTCTCACCATGCTCCAAACTCCCCACACTGCATTGCTCAGACTTTGACGTTCTGCTCTGTAAGGCTCACCCTGCTCCAGCCCCTCCCATCTCCTCCTGGCAAATTTTTATTCATCCTTCAACAATCAGCTCAGGGGTCAGCTCCTCCAGGATGCCTTCCCTGACTGCAGCCTCCGTTCCAGGTTAGAGTCCTCTTCCCACGTCCCCAGTGCCTTCGATCCCGGCACTTAGCACCAGGTGCTCCAGTGGTTTGTTGACTGGTCTGTCTCTCCCACTAGCTTGTGAGTCCCTTGAGTTGCTGTGTCTAGTTCTCTGTGCCCCCGGTGCCTAGCACAGAGCAGCAGTGAGTGAATGAATGACATGAACTCACTGTCCCACAAGGCAGCCCATCTCACTGTGGGGCAGCCCTTTTAGGCAACACTTCCTCTTACTGAGCTGGGTCTGCTGTCCTGCGAGTCTGCCTCCATCCATGAGGGTCCTGGCTGGGCCCTTGGAGCCCTTACAGAGAGAGTCTGCTCTGTCCACCCTCCGAGACTTGAAGACAATTGTTACGACTTCCCTGAGACCTCTAAACCAGCCCTTCTCAATTACAAAGGTCGCGGTCAGTAATGATACTGATAGAATGCAAGTAAATTCTATCAGTGAGTAAAAGTAACGAGGTTTGAGAAGAGTCCAGTTTTTCATATAAACTGGAGTGGTTTCAAGATTATCCCCACAGAAACATCACTCTCATTCACCTGCCTTCCTGAGTGGGAGAGAGGGGGTGGGGTCACAGCTGGGATGTGGCGGCCTCGAATGAATGAGTGACACAGAGAAGGTTAATCGCTGGGCGATTACGAATCATTGTGGTGCTCCTCTTCATTATAAGTTTAGCTTTTTGGGGGAGGGGGTCAAAAAAAATCTAGGTACCCCCTGGGAGGGTGTGTTATTTATACATGTAACTCACCCCTTAAGAGTTGTTGCAGGGAAGAAGGATTAAGGACTGTTGTTTGAAACATATGCAGTTCTTTTAATCACTCTTTATATGACATGGTTTCAGATGCCAATGATTGCTGGGCAATTTCATATTTATTATCTCATATAATCCCATTTCAATACCACAACAACTCATTATTTTTTTTTTCAGAGATGGGAAAACTGAGGCGCAGAGAGGTTAAGTAATTTGCCCAGGTCACACAGCTAGCAGGTAGAACCTGGATCCAGACATGAGTCCTTTCAATGTTTAAGTTGGGCTTATCTTTCTGCATTCCAACTGCCCTCCCTCCTCATGACCTTTCCCTAGACAGGTCCCACTGGCCAATAGATGCTTGAACAGTGGGTGACATCACACACTGTCCTGAATTGTTCTCTACTTGTTTCATGAGTTTGTGTCTTGTTTCTCCGACCACACTGCAGACTCTCTCTACTCACCCCACTCAGATCTCCTACAGGACCTGGCCCATGGGGGGCAATTATAGTAGACATGGTGTCTGATTACCGGCTCTGCTGTTTACTAGGCTCACGGTGAAAGAAGTAAATTATATTAAAAATTTAAAAGTTATTACCTTAGAGACAGGCACCTCCACGTCTTAAGGATTCCTGGTATAGGAGGGAACGTTTATCAATCCTGACTGACTCTATTCATGAAAGACCCACCCTAAACTGTTCGGGGAAAAAATTGAGAACAAGAGAGTGCTCCAGAGGGATAAGTTTGGGAGGGTCGGGGTGGAGGGGGTCCAGATGGGGACGCGTGTGTAACCTGATAATCGCTTCGCGCCATAACAATTCGCGCCATAAAATGTAACTGTTTAAATTAGCCAATCATGTAAGACCGCGCCAACCTTTTTCCCGCTTTATGCTTCCGAATCCTATAAAAGAGCTTGCCCTTTAAGGTTCGGGGTCGACTCCTCTGTCTCCTGCGAGAGATACGTGTCGACCCGGAGCTCCGCTTAATAAACCTCTTACCTCTTGCGTTTGCATCAAGCTCGGTCTTCTGTGTCTGTGGGTCCGCGCCTTCCCGAGACTAGAGTTGGGGTTCCCTTTTTGGGATCCTACAATGGCTTTGGGATAATCATGGCACCTACCACTCAGGGTTGTTGAGAGGATTAAATGAAGTAACGACGGAAGGTTCTCAGAACAGCATCTGCACAATTCAATAAATTATCACCACCCAACCTTAAGTGATAGCCAAGTCCATTCTCTCTCCTCTCTCCAGCCCACTGCCCTGCTTGAGGCTTGAGAAGACCTCCAAAGGGGTCTCTCTCCTTCCTATATAAGCTTCAATGGCACCCTGCACTTCCCCTTTTGTAACACTCGTCACACTTTTTGTAACTTATCTAACATCTGTATTCACCAACAAAATTAAGTTGCATGTCTGTCTGATTCACAATTATATCTCCAGCTGCTACCATTGCACCTAGTCTATATGGTAGGTGCTCAATAAATATTTATCAAAAAGGCTTTTTTTCAGAAAAATGTGCTGACTCCTGTCCTAGACTTTCTTAGAAATGGACCACCAAGTCCCCAAGATTTGATGGAAGTATTCAGAGATGCAGTTTATTCAACACTAAAACTCCACGTGACGACCAGAATGAAATTTGTAACACATCCATCCGGCCAAGTCACTCTCTTGTTCACAATCCTTTGGTCCTCCACGATATCCAAGACGAGGTTCAAATGTCTCCTTTGTCCCTATTTTATTGCTTGGAAAACCAGGACACCCAGGCATAGAGGGTAAAGGATGATGGATTGGGAACTCAGACCCCACCCGAAGCCAGGATGTAGGTGTGCAAGAAGCAAGAGAAGGAACCGTGCTACGCTGTGCAGGAAAGATCAGTTTGGAAGAGAGGGGGGTGGGGCCTGCCCCAGCACACCCATAAAGCCTCCCTCTCCGACCCCCCAACTTACGCCTTCTTGATCTGGGCATCCTCTGAATTTCTAGAGATCTGGAGCACAGAGTAATAATCCCGGCCCATGGCTGGCAGGCAGGCAGGCAGGCAGTCAGTGGCTAGTCCTGACTCCAGCAGGGCTGTTAGTCTGCATTCCTTGGTTGCTCCTGACAACCGTACAGGGGCACTCTGGGAGTTGTAGTCCTTCCTGCCTAAGCAAACTGCCTTCTCAGCTCAGCCTCATAGAAGAGCAAACAAAAAGATTGGGAGAACCAGGGCTGATTCTGTGAGCCTGATAAATGTCACTAACTCAGAAACCAGAGAGTGTTCAGGGAGAGTAGCAATTACTTTTAATTAAAAGTTTTCAGAACAAATGCATTTGGCTGTGTTTTTAAAATAAATTTTTATTTTAGAACAGCTTTAGATTTTCAGAAAAGTTGTAAAGATACACAAAGTTCCCACACACCCCAGACCCAGTTTCCCCTATTATTAACATCTTACATGAGTATCGTACATTTGTCACAATTACCAGTATTGAGACATCATTTATAGTGGAAGTCCAATACTTTATCCAGATTTCCTAGTATTTAACCTAATGTCTTTTTTCTGTTCCAGGATCCCATCCAGGATACCACATTATATTTAGCTGTCATGTCTCCTTAGGCTCCTCTTGGCTACAACTGTTTCTCAAATTTTCCTTGTTTTTGATGACATCAATGATTTAAGGAGTACCGATCAGGCGTCTAGTAGAATGTCTCTCAGCTGGGATGTGTTCGATGTTTTTCTTATGATTAGACTGGGGTTGTGGAGTTTGGGAAGGAAGACCACAGAGGTGAAGTGCCGTGCTCGTTCGGTCAGATCAAAGGTACATACTATCAACATGACTCATCACTGCTGATGTTGACCTTGATTGCCTGCTGCAGTAGGGTTTCTCCACTGTCGGGTTACTTTCGTTTCCCCCTTTCTGGATTGTACTCTTTGGAAGGAAGTCATTTTGCAGCCCACCCTTAAAGAGTGGGGAGTTCTTCTCCATCTCCTTGGGGGCAGCAGCGCCCTGTTATCCACTCATCCCACATCCAGTCAGTCACCAAACTCAGTCCATTTTACCTCCTAGATGCCTCTCAAGCCCCTCCTCTGCCATGGCCTTGCTTTGGCTTTCGTCTTTCAGCAAGGCCACTACAACATCCTCACTGTCCCGCCTGCCTCCTCTCTACCCTGCCAAGACCATACACCACACTGCCCAGAGTTAAGGCACTACAGCACTTACAACGCCCAGACTAACCATTATCTGTCTCACATTCACCTGTGCTGCCACCTCTGCTCAGACCCTCCCCACCATACCCACCACCAACCCTGGCTTCAACCAAGCTAACTCCTACTTGTTTTTTTTTTTTTTTCTTATAAAGTAGCTTATATGTACAAAAGAGCAGCATTAGAACATTGCTTATTGAAGGAATGTTGCCTCTGTGTGCCCCTCCCCACCTGTTTATTTTTCTCTTGCTTTTCTTTATTGTTTTACTACTGTGCATGTATCCGGTGGTGTACTGGTAAATATTTAACAAGTAGGTCACCAGAAGGAAAAAATAGCCCTGATTTGTAGCATTTGCCAATTTCTCCCATGCTGGTACAAGCCAGCTCCAGCACACCACTGCATGTATCCCTAACACATTTACTTTTCAATGTTTTTATTTATTTATTTATCTATTTATTTTCCCTTTTTCTCCCCAAAGCCCCAGTAGATAGTTGTATGTCATAGTTGCACATCCTGCTAGTTGCTGTATGTGGGACGCCACCTCAGCATGGCCGGACAAGCGGAGCGGTGGTGCTCCCTGGGATCCGAACCCCAGGCCGCCAGTAGCAGAGCGCGCGTACTTAACTGCTAAGCCACGGGGCCGGCCCCCTACTTTTCAATGTTTTTTAACTTTATATAAATGGTGTCATTTATGCAAATGACATGTCTGTGTGTGTGTGTCTTATTTTCACGGAGGCTGTATAGCACCCTCTGTTGATGCTGAATATTTGGGTATGTGTGTCAACTTTGCGAGGTAATGTCAGTTTCCTGATGCAGTTATTCTAATTTACACGGGCAGAACAGCAGTGTGTCTGAGTTCCTTTTTGCTCCACATCCTCACTAGTTCTTGATGTCCCCTGATGGTGTTTCAGATACCAGTGACTGAGATATGTAAGAACTTTCCTGGGTCCTCTGAAACCACAGTTACAGAGAGGTCCTGCCTTAAAGTAGCTCTTTCATAGTATTTGAGGCAAAAGGTCTACTTTAGGTATATTTGGAGGAGGTAAAACACACTTTAGGAGTTGGGCCAAAAGACAGAGAAATCAATGAAAGAGCTAGGAAGTAAAGTGCAGGTTTTGGGTGAATTGAGTGGTCAGAAAGTGAACCTGTCTTGATCCTGCTGTGCTCACATGCCATCTGTGTGACCTGAGGCAAGTTTACTTAATGGCCCCAAGTCTAAGTTTCCTTGAGTAAATGGGATTATCAACATGAACTCCACCACAGGGTTGGTGTGAAAATATTAAATGCAATTATATAAAAGCACATATCACATACAAGATGCTCCCCCAGCACTGAGGCAGTAGAGTCAGAGATCAAGTTGCAAATCCTGTCCATTAGCTACTAGTTTTATGACCTTAAACAATTATTTCTTAGCCACAGTTGCCTGGTTGTAAAATGAAAATGTGGAATTACTCTTTTTATTTTTTGCATTTCTGAACTTTCTTGTGGATTTTATTTAACTACTGAAATTGAACACCTTTTCCTGTGTACTGGCCATTTGTTTTACTCTTATTACCAGAAAAAAATGTTACTAAAAATTAAACCCATAGGGTTGGGGGAAGGCCATGCTCAGCCTGGGACTGACTGAGGTGAATGGAGGGGCAGAGGGAGACTCTGAGGGCACCATGTGGGCAGGGGCTGAGGTGAAAGGGGAGGAGACGGCCTGTGTGGTTGGCAGATTGGTTAATCACAGAGGTATTGAGCAAATAAGTGAAAGTATACTGAGAATTAGGAGAGCCAAGATTCTCACTGTTGGAGAAAGGAGGTATGTATGTAGAAGGCTATAATAAACCCTGTCAAGTTGGATTGGAATTGCAGACATTGGTGTGAACTCAAGATTTTTAATATACATAGAATGATGGATGTAGAAATACAGATGTACGTGTGTACCGTCCACTGATAGGGCCTAGCAGCAATAATACCCCAGCAGTAAAAAGCATACTAGTAGTACCCAGATCTTGGTTTCTGAATACCATTCTCCACTAAAAGGAACCAGGGCTATTTGGACAAATGACTGTTTCCAGGGCCGGGGTGGGAAAGTATAAGATGAGCTTGAATACCTTGTTGTACCAGAAAATACGGAAGTGCTCAAAGAATGATGGAAACATGTCAAAGGGACATAGGATCTAGCTTGAAGGAGCTCCTACTGGCCCAACTGTGACAATTTAAACATCAAAACAAATAGTAGTAATAATGGATTATGATCCATAGAATAAAATATGAATTCATGAGTAGTTCATACTAATATATCTATGATAAATGAAGGAATGAATGAATACATACATGGAGAAGAGAAAGTTCCACCACATAGTAGAATGCCAATTATAAATGTAAAAAGGATGGAATTAGAAAATCACCATTTGGCAATTATCATAGGAATAACTGATTCAGAGAGAAATCATCCAAGAATGCTAAAACTAGTTGGTGGAAGTTCTATGAGGAATAGTATATTTTATACAGTTTCAAAGTAGCTCCCCACAAAAAACTTAACTTTGCTGTGGAGAAATCTGGTAGACATCATTTTACCAATTTAACATCACCTGACTATAACAAAAAAGATAGACAAAAACAAGTGTTGGCAAGGACATGAAGAAATCAGAACCCTTATACACTGCTGGTGAGAATGTAAAGTGGTGCAGCCACTTTGGAAAACAGTTGGCAGTCTCTCAAAACATTAAGCATAGAGTAACCATCTGACCAAGCAGTCCCACTGTTAAGACATATAGAACTGCAGACCTATGTTCACACAAAAACTTGTACATGAATGTTCGTAGCAGCATTATTCATAATAGCTAAAAAGTGGAAACAATCCAGATGTCCACCAACCGATGAATAGATTAAAAAACTGTGGCAGATCCATACAATGGTGCTATTGGTCAGGTTTCTCCAGAGAAACAGAGTCAACAGGATGTGTGTGTATATATAAAGAGAGAGATTTATTTTAAGGAATTGGCTCATGCAATTATGGAGGCTTGAAGTGTCCAAAATCTGCAGAGTAGGCCTGTAGGCTGGAGACCCAGGGAAGAGTTGCAGTTCAAGTCCAAAGGCCGTCCTCTGACAGAATTCCTTCTTGCTTGGAGGAGGTCAGTCTTCTTCTATTAGCGCCTTCAACTGACTGAATGAGGCCCACTCACGTCATGGAGGGTAATCTGCTCTACTCCAAGTCCACTGATTTAAATGTTAATCTCATCCAAAAAACACGTTCACAGAAACATCAGAATGTTTGACCAAATATCTGGGCACTGGGGCCCAGCCAAGTTAACACACAAAATTAACCATCACAAATGGAATGTTACTTGGCAACGAAAAGAAATGAAGTACTGATACATGCTACAACATGGAAGAACCCTGAAAACATGATGCTAAGTGAAAGAAAACATTATGCTAAGTGAAAGCAGCCAGACACCGAAGGCCACATATTGTTGTAGGATTCCATTTATATGAAATGTCCACAACAGGCAAATCTATAGAGACAGAGAGTTGATTAGCTTGCCAGGGCTGGGGGGATGGGGAATGATTGCTGAAAAGGATGGTGTTTCTTTTTGGGGTGATGAAATGTTCTGGAATTAGTGGTGATGGCTGCACTACCTTGTGCATATATTAAAACCCACTAAACTGTATACTTTGAAAGGGTGAATTTCATGGTTTGTGAATTATATCCCTAAAAAAAGGTTAATATTACCAGTAATGGGACAAAAAAAATATTGTGTGGCTCCCAGTATGAGACAGTATCTCTGTCTCTTAGGACAGAGAATCACTTTTGGGGCATTCTTGCCAAAATGCATAACCTGAATCTAATCATGAGGAAACATCAGACAACCCCAAACCAAGAGTCCTTCTATAAATTGGCCTATATTCCAAAAATATCAGGGTTATGAAACAAGGAAAAACTACTCCAGACAGAAGGCAAATAAATGCAACATGCGATCCTGGACCACAAAGGAAAGGGTGAGTATAAGGGATATTGTTGGAGCAA